GGGAGCGGGGCCGCGCGAGGGCGCGCCGGCGGGGGCTGGATGGCCGCAGGCCGGGCCCCCCGTGTGAACCTGTAATCTGAGCCTGGGCGCCGAGCGGCCCCGGAAGCCGACGCCCAGCGCTGCAGTAAATCTCGGCTGCGGGGCCGCCCTTTCCCGGCAGCGGGAGGCGCGCGCTGCTGGCGGGTCCGGTGCACCTGGCCGGGCTGTGCGCCCGGCGCTCCGGGTAGCCAGCAGGCGCCAGTAGAGGGGCCGCTCGTGCGGGCGCGTCCACAGCGGTCCAGGATCCGGGCGCTCAGAGGGGCAGGACGTGGGTTCTGGGAATGTACCTCTCGGTGTCTGGGCTTGTGTCTGCAAACACAGCCACTCTTGCTTCCACAGGGGCATCCTAGCTTTCGGGATGGAATTAATTCCTCCGTGCACCCAATTTCTAAGAAAGTGGAGCACGTTTTCTTTGCTGACTGGGACTAGGAAAGAAGGTCCCTCGGGATTTTTTTCCCTCCTCCAAGCATTGGAGTCCAAATTCTCCCAGCGGGCGACAGGGTGGCGGAGCTGGGCATTTGTGTGAGGCCGCTTTCACTGGGTGAATGCATGTCTCAGGCCCTCTTGTGTACACATACCCACCACACACGTTCGGGCTTCAGTGGTGTTTGGCAGGTATTGGTCGCCGCATGAAGTTCCGTAAGTCTGCCAGGAGGACACCAGAGTGGAAAAAAATTCAATTGTGTATTTCGGGACTGATTCCAGGATTTGTAATGACAGGCTAGACAGTTGTTTTGAACTTGAAAACTAGTCGTCTTTATCCGCACAAAGGTACAAAGCAATTCATATTGGTCGCTGGTCCGTTCTTGTGGATAATGGCCTTACAGTCCTGTCAGTGAGGGAAACTTTAATAAATACTGTTGTGGATAAGAGAAATTTTCTCATTTTGCAAATAGCTCCTCAATTTCTAGACCTCCTTAATTACTAATCTCAATGCCATCTTAACACAGTATGGATGCTACATCACACACTCTGAACTGCTTGAGCCTAATAAAATCTCCTCAACCCTGCCACCACACCCCGCCCCCCCTCCACACACTCGTTATACAACCTCCTTGGCTCAGACTGAACGTTTTATTCCACCTAACGTTTATCGCCAGCCTCTCACCCCTTCTTCCAGCCTTCTCTGCTCCCCTGTCTAGGCTGGGTCCCTTCATCCAGTCTGGGCTTTTCTTTTTGTGGCATCTCAGACCCCCTTTCTCCCGATATTCCACCACCTGCCACCTGTCAGTTGTCAACCCCAGATAAATCCCATGGTCTGCTCCTGCTTACAGGTGACAGGAGCTCTCTGGGGGCTGGTACAGCCTGACAACTGGAGGTTCAACCATCAATGCTCCTTTCAACCTCAGCAGTCTTCAGTGGTTCACATGGCTGTTACCCTGCATCTTCCCTCCTCAAACTTGATATCCTGGGACAGGAAGCCATGCAACCCACTCCCCTCTGCCTTCTGAAAGTTCCTTGGACTTCAATTCCTTTCCCGAAATGGCAGGCCACCTTCCTTCAGAAATCATTGCATGGACCTCCCCTCAAGGGTCCTGTAAATTTTCCCAGCCTCTGGCTTCTCCAGTGAGTCAGCCTTTCTTTCTTGAGTCTCTTGGTTGCCAAGTAGAAGTGGGGTGCATGGGTGAGAGGAAAAGACATGGGGGATTGAGATTCTTTTGACTCCAGATTGGCATCTAAAAGAAATCAAACATATTTCACACATTCAAGATTAGTTTTTGGCCAAAAATGAGATCTACATTAAAAACTTACATTTCTTCTCCGTAACATTGCTTCTCATTCATTCATCGGTCCATGCTGAGCACCTGCTTTGTGCCTGACACTGCGCTAGAGCCAGAGAATGCAAAGGTGACCCATAGGTAATACACTCCTGCCGTCCTGGAGAGGGGAAAGGCAGACAAAAGACAAGTAAAATAGGTATAAAAATGGAAGCACACTTTGATAAGGAATAAAGGGAGCAAGGACATATATATGAAGTCTGCAAAGGCCTTTTCTGAGTTTTGGGAGGGACGTAAGATGAAGATGGGGTGAAACAGGTGGTTCAATGAGACCTAGGCAGGAAGAGTTTGACGCACCTCCCTTTGGCAGTAGAATCAGAGAATTTGAGGGGTGGAGGAGGCAGACCCAATTTTCTACCACTTGCTATGTAGAGGCTTTGAACCTCTGGAGGCTTTGAGCAAAGAACTGTTTAAACTTTGTGGTCCCCTGAATACAAAGCACAGTCAGCAAAAGTGACTCCTCCAGCCTGAGTCCCGGCTTTCCAAGCCCGAGTCCTCAGGAAATGGGGTGGGGGGGAAGGGGCTGCCTTTTAGAATTCTGTCCTGAGGACTACCCTTTTCAGATTTGCTCTTGGGCCCATTTCCTGACCTGATCTGTGGAGACTGGATTTGTTTGTTTATTTACTTATTTACTCAAGGATCCCTGGTGGTGCGATGGTTAAGCACTCAGCTGCTGACCAAAAAGTCAGACGTTCAAACCCAGCAGCCACTCCATGGATGAAAAGAAGACCTGTCAATCTGCTCCCAGAAAGATTAAAGCCTAGAAAACCCTACTGGCCAGTTTTACTCTGTCACATAGGGTCTCTATGAGTTGGAATGGACTCAATGGCACACAACAACAACTTACTTTACTTACTCACAGAAAGCCACCTTTGTTATGTCCATAGGAGATTTAAGAATCTACTTGAAGGGCCTGGTCCAAGTAGGGCCTCCCCAGAGATGAACTTGCAAGATCTCCAGGGAGGAAAGGGAAGAGTTACCATCAAACACAGCTCCAACATTTCCACATGAAAGAGGCTTAAGGGTGGCTGTCTGGGACATAAGCAGTAGCCAGCAGGGAACCACCCAGGAGAAAGCCCTGAGTCTTCAGTTGTCTGTTCCTCAGAGCTTTGGCCAATGTGGAGGTCCCTTTCTCTGCCAGTTTGCTATTGAATACAGGAGATCTCAGCTGAGCAGGCCTTGGAAGTGATGTGCAAGAAGGTAAGAAACTACCCTACAACCCCAATAAAAGAAAGAAGGGCTGCCTCATCCTGAGCTTTTAGTCAAGTGGTTTTATCCATTCTGAAGCAAAAAGGACTTTGCCAAAACAACTTGCAGGGCAAACCAGCCAGTCTTTGAAATGATCATGACTTACTTGTTTATCTACTCACTTGGTAAACCTGTACAAAAGTCCCTACTATGAGTTGTGTAGGGGCTCTGGTGGTGTAATTGTTATAAGGCATTTGGCTGCTAACCAAAAGGTTGGTGGTTTGAACCCACCAGCCACTTCACAGAAGAAAGATGAAGCAGTGAAAGTTTACAGCCTTGGAAACCCTATGAAGGTCACTATGAGTTGGAAGTGACTTTATGGCAGTGAGTTTGGTTTGGTTTGAGTTGGGCACTGAGCCAGCCCCAAGGCAACAAAGAGTCACAGTCTCTATTCAAGATGCTCTTAATGTGTGAGATACAGATGTAGTCAGATAAACTTCTTAGTGCATGACAGTGGGCAGGTTGTTTAATCTCTTTAAGCCGCAATTCTCTGTAAAATTGGATGTTAGTAATGGTTACTGTATTAGTATTAGTTTCCTAACTGCTGTACACATTATCACAAAATAGTACTGCCAACCAAATAGTTGGTGGTTCGAACCTAGCAGACACTGTGGGAGAAAGATGAGGCAGTCTGCTTTTGTAAAGATTTACAGCCTTGGAAACGCAATGGAGCAGTTCTACTCTGTCCTGCAGGGTGGCTGTGAGTCAGAATTGAGTTGATGGTATGAGTTTGGGTTTGGGTTTTTATGTGCCTTAAAACTACAGAAATTTTTGTCTCCCAGTTTTGGAAGTTTGTTGTTAGTTGCCGTCAAGTTGGCTCCCATTCATGGCATCCTTGTGTATAACAGAATGAAATGCTGGCCAGTCCCACACCATCTTCATGACCGTTGGGACGTTTCAGTCCATTGTTGCAGCTGTTCTGTCAGTTCATCTCATTGAGGGTTTCTCTCACATTTCGCTGACCCTCTACTTTAGCAGACATGACCTCCTGTTGTAATGATTGGTCTTTCCTGATTGCATCCAATCTAGAGACTACAAGTCTGGAACGAGGTGTCGGCAGGGCCATGCTCACTTTGCAGGCAAAAGGCAGAGATCCTTCCTGGCTTTGAGTGGCTTCTGATAATCTTTGACATTTCTTGGCTTGTAGATGCATCCGTCCAATCTCTCGCTCCATCTTCCCAGGGCCATCATCCCTCTGTCTGTCCACATCTCTTCTCTTCACTCAGATTAGGGCGCTCATGTTAACTAAAACCAAACCAAACTCACTGTCATTGAGTGGATTCCAACTCATAGTGACTCACATTGAGTTTCCAAGGCTATAAATCTTTACAGAAGTAGATCACCCCATCTTCCTTCCACAGAGCAGCTGGTGAGTTTGAACCACTGACCTTCTGGTTAGCAGCCAAATGCCT